CATAAGTCACAATGGGTCTTTTTTCAAATTTTTGATCTTTCCATTACTTTCTGACCAACCTTCGTTTTGGATCAAAATTGAAAATTTTCATAAATTCCAACATTTGTATTAGGAGAGCATAAGTCGCAAAAGGTCTTTTTAAAAGTATCAATTTTTAGCGCGAAATCAACTATATCGCAGTCTTGTTTTTCATTTTTCTACATCGTTGAAACGTTTAATTGTACTATTACTATCATAATTTATGTTCATTTCCAGTATTATAACAAAAATTAAATTTCTCAATAGATGTCTTGGTGTTATTTTTAATAAGTAAAACGCTGTTTTTTCTTATTATATATTTTATTAAAATAAAATACACTTTGTTCAATAATACATTTATTGTTGCAAATTAATGGCAGTTATAATAAACACAACGTATGAACATCGATAGATAAGTATTTCAAATAACAATACTTTAATATAAACAATTTATATAGATATAATACATTCTAACGACTTATAAAAGTTAAAAATAAAATACCTGTAAGACACGAAAATCTATAAAATTTCAAAGAAAATACATTAATTATACATAAACTGTCATACCATTATTATTTAAATGCAAGATTACGGAGAAAAAAAGCCTCCCTAACCTTCTGTGGCCTCCTCGTCTCCCCTTATAGCCACCCTATCCACCCAAAACGAACATTAATTTTGAAAGCGTAAACAAATAATTAATTTAATTTAACAATTATAAGAGACAATAAAATCAATAAACAAGAAAATCAATAGAATTTCAAAGAAAATACATTTATTATACAACTGTCATACCATTATTATTTAAAGATTAGGGAGAAAAACGGCTCCCTAACCTTCTGTGGCCTCCTCATCTCCCCTTATAGCCACCCTATCCACCCAAAACGAACATTAATTTTGAAAGCGNGCAATTTTATTATATATTGTAATTTACATAAAATAAAATTTGTTCAATAATACATTTATTGTTGCAAATTAATAGCATTTATAATAAACACAATGTATGAACATCAACAGATAAGTATTTCAAATAACAACAATACATCAATATAAACAAAATATCTAAGATATAATACATTCTCACGACTTATAAAAGAAAATTTGTTCAATAATACATTTATTGTTGCAAATTAATAGCATTTATAATAAACACAACGTATGAACATCGGTAGATAAGTATTTCACATAACAATACTTTAATATAAACAAATTATCTAAGATATAATACATTCTAAAAGTTAAAAATAAAATACCTGTAAGAGAGACAAGAAAATCAATAGAATTTCAAAGAAAATACATTTATTATACATAAACTGTGATACCATTATTATTTATTATTATTTAAATGCAAGATTAGGGAGAAAAAAGCCTCCCTAACATTCTGTGGCCTCTGCATCTCCCCTTATAGCCACCTTATCCACCCAAACGCGCGTTAATTTTGAAAGCGTAAACAAATGATTAATTTAATTTAACAATTATACCAAAAAATCAATTTAGAAACATGTGGTGAGAATACATGACTTCATTAATATGTTAACAATTGTCTATTTAAACAGTATAAATTGAGGTTATTGTGCATTTATATCTCTTGACGGTTTTTATTTTCCACAGAATAAAAATTGCATTAATTATTGATCTATCTATGGAGTTTCTTTTTAATCTTTTTCTATTGTTTGCATCGTAAATTGACGTCGTGTTATTTGACATTTATCTATGTCGTGATCTATGGTTGTGATGTAAAATGGCGTTGAAATAACGCTTGTTACTTTATAATTCAACTAATTTTACTTGCTTTTTGATGCGTTTTTATTTGTGTTTCTTAATTATATGTGTAATTAATATGCTTTTTTGTCCTTTTGTGCAGGTTATACAATAACTGAGAGAGAATTAATGTTGAGTTTGGTTGTGCTGAAACAGTCAAGGTCTACATGTGTGTGGTCTTTCGTGGATTATATTCTTGATTTGCTGTTTCGTCTTCGCCTTGTAACATCGTGCAGTTAATTTTCAACCCATGAGTGAGAGCAACTGGATATTTTGATATTTATTTGAATTCCACTGAAATAACAAATTCTCTGCTACGGCGTTCCTCTTGGAGTTGGTTTGTTTTTTGCACCTGTAAACTTTGGAACTTTACGTTCTACAATTAATTAAGGTGAGAAACTATGACTTCATACGTCGCCATTTTTAATGTTTTGTTGTTTTATTCGTTTTTGACTGGTTTTTTATTTCGTGTTTTTGTTTTATTTCACGTTTCATTTATTTAATATGAGTGTTTAGTTCTTTTTTTTTTATCTATTTTCTGCATATATTTTGACTTTCATTTGAGAGTAAGAAAAGTGAAAAGGATTAAATATTTAAATTTTCTGCATAACAGATGTCTATTAAATTAATTAGTTAATAAATGTTTTTGTCGGTTTACACAGATTAGTCGACAATGGAGAGAGATTTGAACTTATATCATTTGCTTACTGAAGANACCCATTGCAACTTATGCTCTCCTAATACAAATGTTGGAATTTATGAAAATTTTCGATTTTGAGCCAAATACAAGGGTTGGTCTGAAAGTAATGGAAAAATCAAAAATTTGAAAAAAGACCCATTGCAACTTATGCTCTCCTAATACAAATGTTGGAATTTATGAAAATTTTCGATTTTGAGCCAAATACAAGGGTTGGTCTGAAAGTAATGGAAAAATCAAAAATTTGGAAAAAGACCCATTGCAACTTATGCTCTCCTAATACAAATGTTGGAATTTATGAAAATTTTCGATTTTGAGTCAAATACGAAGGTTGGTCAGAAAGTAATGGAAAAATCAAAAATTTGGAAAAAGACCCAATGCAACTTATGCTCTCCTAATACAAATGTTTGAATTTATGAAAATTTTCGGTTTTGAGCCAAGTACAAGGGTTGATCAGAAAGTAAAGGAAAAATCAAAACTGTTTTTTGTAATTTTGTTGTTCCGTAACTTTTCGACCGGCCCTCGTATATGACGCAAAACTGAAAATTTTGTTAAATCTGAAAATTTGTATTAGGAGAGCATAAGTCGCAATGGGTCTTTTTCCAAATTTTTGATTTTTCCATTACTTTCTGACCAACCTTCGTATTTGGATCAAAATTGAAAATTTTCATAAATTCCAACATTTGTATTAGGAGAGCATAAGTCGCAAAAGGTCTTTTTAAAAGTATCAATTTTTAGCGCGAAATCAACTATATCGCAGTCTTGTTTTTCATTTTTCTACATCGTTGAAACGTTTAATTGTACTATTACTATCATAATTTATGTTCATTTCCAGTATTATAACAAAAATTAAATTTCTCAATAGATGTCTTAGTGTTATTTTTAATAAGTAAAACGCTGTTTACTTTA